CCTTTTTCCTCAACCTCCCCCCCCACAATCTCCTCCCCGCTCCCTAAAATTTAGAAAACGTAACAGGGTTTTTGCTGTTTTTCTGCGATTTCCGAAGCCTCACCTGCAAAGAGACGACCACTGTGTTGGAGTGCGTTTGGACATGTCTCCCGGTGAGGCTGCCTTTGGCTTTGACGAACTCCTGGAGCTGTGCGATTTGTTTGTAAAGACTGTTGATGTCCTGCGGGAGGTTAGAAAGGGACCAGGTTGAGGGGTGAGGGCAGCGAGAACCCGACGGAATGGCTGCCGGTTCTTTTTGCCCTGCGGGCGCCGGATTTCCGCCTTCCTTGTTCTGACCGAGGCTTCCCGAGAGCCTGAAGCCAACTCCTTGTTGTCCCGACAAAAACCCCTTTTCTTAAATTTGCTGTGAATTCTGCTCCTTCACCTCCATCAAAGTCTTTCGAGGGAGGATTTATGGTCACAGACTTCATCTGGCTTGGAGAGCTGCCAGGCCGACATCTGCAAACTTGGCAAGGAGTCTCCGAGAGTCACGAACCAATGAAGCGAACTAATGGCCTCCTGCAAACTCCACTCCACTGTTGCTCCTCTTTTATTTCCTCTGGGAGGGGCCATTCACCGACCCACTGTGGCCTTACTCCCAAGTCAACCCATTCTTTCGCTTCGTCTGGCAATGCGCACACTCGGAACAGGCTCCAGCTGTTCTTCTGCTCCACTGATGTCTAACTCCGAAGGCAGCTGGGAACTGTCAGACGGCCCGGGCCCCCTCTCTGCCTCCGACACAGAGCCTTCCCCAGACTCCAGGACTGGTCCATCTTCCTCCCCAACCTCATCACTGTCTGAATCTGCTGGCAGCTGTGTTGGCGGGCCACAACATTCCTTACCTGCTTGATGATGTAAGTCAGCTCCTCTATCTCCACTGCTTTGTCGTCGAAGAGCGATTTCCGTTTGGCCACTGAGTAGGCAAAGAGTGATATTGAGGGTCATTATTTTTTTCTTTTGCCTGGCCTCCCAACAACCTCACCAGGTCCCCCTGTCCTCTCTCTCTCTCTCTCAATTTTCTTCACTCCTTCCTTTCTTTTTCTTCCCATCTTCTTCCTTCCTCTTCCACCCCCACCCATTCCCTTCTCCAATCCCATCCATCTCTATTTCTGCCCTCCCTTCCATCTCTATTCCTTCCTTTTTGCTTTCTCTTCCTCTCCTTTTCCCTTTCCCTTCCCATCTTCCTTGCTCCTACCTATCCATCTCTCTTCATTCCTCCCTCCCTTCCTTTCCCTTCCCATCTCCCTCCCTCCCTCTTTTCCTTCCCTTTCTTCCTCCTTCCCTTCCCATCTTCCTTCCCTCCCTTCCTATCTCCCTTTCCCTCCCTTCCTCTTTTCCTTCCCTTTCTTCTTTCTTTCTTTCTTTCTTTCTTTCTTCCTCCTTCCCTTCCCATCTTCCTTCCCTCCCTTCCTATCACCCTTTCCCTTCCTTCCTCTTTTCCTTCCCTTTCTTCTTTCTTCCTCCTTCCCTTCCCATTTTCCTTCCCTCCCTTGCTCCCTCTTTTCCTTCCCTTTCTTCTTCCTTCCTCCTTCTCTTTCCCTTCCCATCTTCCTTCCCTCCCTTGCTCCCTCTTTTCCTTCCCTTTCTTCTTCCTTCCTCCTTCCCTTCCCATCTTCCTTCCCTCCCTTGCTCCCTCTTTTCCTTCCCTTTCTTCTTCCTTCCTCCTTCCCTTCCCATCTTCCTTCCCTCCCTTGCTCCCTCTTTTCCTTC